CAGGAGTACCCACAGACCATTCACTGTATAATACAGAGTAACAAAATAAGAAGTATCAGTCACCCAAATGATGTTTTAGAATGAAAGAAAGCAGGCTTTGAAAGTATGGTGAAGCCATATAAGCATCAGGCCCTTCTTTAAACTGATTTATTCTTTAAATTGATCTGACTCATTTTTTCCTTTCAGGCATGTTTTGTTTCTGCAGAGTTCAACTGGTCCAGGATCAAAAGAGAATTGGCTCCATATGCGAGTCTACTTTTGGAAAAGAACTATCCTTTGTCAGTAAACCCCATGCCAGGTACTCACATGAGGAACAGATTCAATCTCTAGCAGACTTCACAGTGAGAGAAATATGATTTTTGCCTCCACAGGACCCTTGTTTTTGGTATCAAAAGCTAAAACTGTCAGGATTTAAAATCTGCCTGGGGCAGATAGATTCCTCTAACACTTTTTCCCCTTTTCTTTCCTGTTCACCTTTAGAGGCATAACAGCCAGTCAAAGCAGTTGTTGGAGGTTAAAATGGCTTCCTTCATCCTATGGGCAGGGAAGATTAGTGACACCATTCTCAACCCACAAAGATCAGATGGTTCTCACCTTTGTGGGTTGTTCTAGATGAGTTATATTTTATTTTCAGCTCCCTCCAATTCTACCCCAGCAATGTGTTGCCTAGAAATACAGTTGATGAAGTTGAAGAGTTGATGACTGGTCAGGGAAGAAAGGCTTATTATTTCCTTAACTTGCCTTCTCCACCTTCTTGTTTAGTTCAGAAAATGGGAAGGGGAACCATGCTGCAATTTTTCCAAATCTGCCCAGGTTAAAAGGGAGGACGGGAGAAAAGAAGCTTTACAAAGAGCAGAAGTGTACAGAAGGGGTAAAAAGGCCATTGAATCAAGACCTAGAGTAGACCTGCTGGCAAGGAGTGTTGTACACAAACCAGTGGCTAGGGAGTACCATGCTTTCTACCATGTTATGATTAACGATATTGCACTGCTAAGTCACCTTCCAGATAGCAGATCCGAGATTCTGGCAGCTTCTTCACTCGCCTTCCCATGAAGAACTCACTGTCAAAATATTCTGAACGAATGGAGGCTCCATATTTTGGTATGGCCACCTCGTAAGGAGAGAACTCCGTCCACTCTACAAAAGAATTGACACATAGCACGTTTACTGTAATAAAAATAAGAAAACAAAACCTTCCCCTAAGGAAAAAGTTATCCACAAACTCAATGGATCTTGCTTGTCTCAGCAGCTCTGTACTATCAGTAGCTTTGTATTGCAAACTGCACTGTCCAGTTCCATACAAACTAAGAGATGATTTGCATACAAAAGGAACCAGGTTTTCACCTCAGAAAGAGTCTAACAGTAGCTTCCAAAGCTTAGATTTATATTTCTATATAAACATTCTGGGATCCCACTTGCCTCTCTAAATCAAGAACATCATATGTACAACATGTGAGTGTGATCCAACCTGCAAGGAATGATTGGCATGAAACCTCTACTAACCCAAACCTGTCAGTCTACATGATATAACAAAGCAGCCTAAAGACACATCAGCTCCAAACTAGAAGTATCACAGTGTGGTCGTGACCTTGCAGTTCCCTGACTCAAGCTGTCCTGTACAGGTACTGCAGTAGAACAGTAGCTATCAACCTAATCAAATGTTAAGCGCTGACTGTTTTTTCTTTCTAGTATCTGCCCATTTTAGTACCTTTTGTTGAATGTAGCCTGTGTCCATTTAAAGAGTGTCATATCACACCCATCATAGCTATCATACTCCACTCCATTTTTATACCCTCATCATTGTAGTATTTAGGGAAGTGACAATGACATCTCACAGCACCTCTACAAACTAAGGAACCATCAAAGCCATTTCATAGATGTGGAAGTGAGGCAGAAGAAGATCACATGATTTGCCCACGCTCACTCACAATGTCTGTGGCAAAACTAGAACTTCAGCCCCGATCTTCAGAAATGCCCTGTTCGTGCCTGACGATGTTATCCAGTAGATCTGCCCTTTCTAATCAATACCCAGCAGTTCACAAAAGAGACAAACATTTTATTAGAAGATGAATACTGAGTCAGGGCAAGCAACAATGTATTCCCCTTTTATGCTCCACACACACGCACCCTCCCTCCAAATTCTCTTTAATCCCTACTCAGAGTCAGAAGAAAGGCTAGGAATACTTACCTCTAAATTTGAAAGTACTGAGCTTTTCCTCTTTCACATTGAGGACTGCATAGAAAGGCAGTGGGTTTTGTCCATGCTCCAATGCCTTGCGCTGGTCTGTGAGTTTGTACTTTCTTGGCTAATCAAAGAAATAAAAAAATCACAGTAAACTTTTGGAAGAGCATAAGGCAAAAGCACTGACACAATCTACCCGAGTATGGATAGACAACAGATGTTTTATAACCCAGAGGAATCTATGAGTCACATTTTTATAAGAGATCTCTTCCTTCATATTCCTGCACTTTCCTACCTAGTTGCCTTTTTGATACCTAGCAACCTTGATTGCCTGCATCCCACAGATCTTCACTAAGTCTGAGACTGATGTTCATATATGGACAAATTACTCTAGCTCTTAAGTGTCCAACTAGAAACAGACTTCGAAAGACTTGACTTTTCAGGAGGGATTGCTCAGTTCTTTCTGAAAGTTTGCCTACTGAAGTTGCTAGCCGTTGGGCACCCTAGTACAGAGGCACATTCAAACCATTAGCTACCCTGGAAAATCCTGGCTACAAGATCCTCTGTCATTGTTTACAAATCACGCTGGAATGCCTCAGTCACTTTGGATTTGTTCCACACATTACATCATGCCCTCAAAGAGTAAAGAAAACGAGTGGATGTTTCCCAAATGTGTGGCAGGACCATGTACATACCTGTTCATGTAAGAACATTTCCTGAACAAGTGACCACAGAGTTGTAAAGGATGATACATGTCCTGCTTTTGCCCTTTCAGTGAGTTCCTTGTGATAATACTTCAGATGGTCTATAGACATAAGGTTGAGCTTGCATTTTGTCACTTGTTCTTTAACTGCCCTAAGTGGCCCCTCCAGAGTCTTCTGTGACCAGTCAGCATGCTCATACAGGTCTGCTAGGGTCCTAAAGAACAGAAAGGTGAGAAAATCATTGATTTATTTGGTTGATTTTGGAAAATCACTATATTTACCCAGCCACTTTCGTCAAAGAAGAGAATCAGCAAGCCTAAACTGAAGTTATGATCAAGCACCAACAGTAAGAGCTTTACCAGGGCATTACATTCACTTATTAACAATGTTAAGACTTCGAAAGGGATGCATCCCTCTCACTGCGTGAAAAGGTAGTGTCGCAATCATTCCAAATACAAATCTCATTTTCTATACGCACCATGTTGAGCCAGAAGCCCCAGTGAGATAGGTAACACAGTCCAACAGATTTAGCTTCTGCAGAGCTAAGAGGTGGCCAAACATAGCTGACATTGCTCTGAGGCCTCCGCCTGTTGCCATAACAGCTATTACTGGGACCTGTTCAAAACATAAGTATTATCTTCAAAAAGTTACTCACTTGCCTACTTCTCACAAATTCCTCAGCAGACTTCATTGGAGGACAATGAAATTAAATCAATATTCAGCTAGTTTTTACCAATACCTTCTTTAAATTAACCTCCAGATACTCAGCGGATTCCCTTAAACCCAAAGCTTGGATGAGTTTGAATATGCAGTGATTTTAACCTTCCTTCCTCCTCTTGTTATTTATAATTGTAATTGCAATGATTAACAGCAGATAATGCTATGATTTTATTATAAATAACAAAAATTGCAAAAAATGTAATTAAGAAGGGATTCAAGGAAGTCCTGAGCAGAGATCAGAAAAAACATATTAAGCAAGCAAAATGATTCTTTGGACAGCATCCATTCAACAAATATAATCTCAGTAAGAAAATAAATGTTCACCTAAAAATTCACCCTGAATCTTGGCAACAAAACATACTTCAGCTGGAGCTTGTTATAAAATGTTCTTTCTTCACTCTAAAGAATTTTTACTTTTTGTGAAAAGTGTTCTGAAAATGGAAGAAAAAAAAAGCTAAGCCTAAAGGAGGGACATTACAATGATTTCATAAATATCTATGTGAGGTGAATTTCAAATACTCCTGTCTCCCCACTTGGTTTGGGTTATCTGGCTAGGCTGGGTCTAACACAACCTCATATCTTGCTGATCTGCCACATCACACTCTTGGAAACTCTGGCTCTGAAGAGTGGTATATTATGTCCTTTGGAATTTGATCCATTGCAAAGAATGGAGGCATGAATAGCTGAGCTGAAATTTTAGATGAGCAAGGGGTATACCACACTGAGAACTTCTGTTCTGCTGCCATTCAAATCAATAGTTTGTCATCAACATGCAAAAACAGTTAGAAATTTTGCGGGGAGCTGTGCTAATCCTAATTCAATAGACCCACACCCCATGCTTGGATTCTAACTCACAGACCTCGTGTCCATGTAGATCTCTTTCCAGATGAAGAACTCTTTTCAGGGCACTGGCAACCACTCTCTTCCTTTTTTGCAAGAATTCTTGTTCTTCTCGGCACAGATCATACCCTAAGCGCACATCTAGTTTTTCTGTGCTGAAACATAAATAAATCCAGAGGTATAGGATTGGTGTTTAAAATGTATATGGATCTATTTTCAGCAATTGCAGTCTATTAAATATCATAAAAAATTATTATTCAATGTTCAGACTTAGAGACAGAAATACAGCTTCTAGTTTCAAAGAAATCAACTGCTTTGCTTCTACATGATCTCTTTATTTTCTGGTGTTTCAGTGTAAGTTTTACTGCCAGCTAAGTATAGCAAACCTAAAAAAAAAGGAAAGGCTTCTTTGTGTCTTTCAGTAGCTTTTTAAGTTGAATTCTTTTTATTTCTGCTTTGTATCATTTCTGAGCAAAGGATGACTTGAACTTAACAAGGTCTTTCATGGAGATTTGTACCACAGATTTATACAGAAACAGTATAATGAAAAAGATATTCAAATAATTTTGGTTTATTTGTTGTCTGTCTCACTATTTTCAGTGTGACATTTTGTCTTCTCTAGCTTGTGCTTATTTCTACTGATATTATCAGAGTCACCAACCTCTTTTCTTAAGAATACCTGTATGATTTAAGTAATGTATCGCCTCCGGATGTTTTGTTTATTTCAAATTTCCTTTTCCCTCTGCCTTCTTCCCGCTTCTGTGTCCCTTTTGAAGAAGCTTCTAATCTCAGTCTTTGATTCTTTGACACAAGGGACACTCAGTGACTAAGCTCTCACTGTTTGAAATTCTCATAATATTTTTTTTGCATCTTGGTGTGACTCTTTTGCCCTAAGGACATTTAACTTTGATCTGTTGTGGTGACTCTTTAGTGGTGACTTAATTATTGTTATATTTTTCTCCTAGTCTTGTGCATTCCTTGTATCTAAACAAAGGATACTCTGTTCTAGAATTCACAGTTCAAAGAGCAATAAAACCTTTAGAGTAAAAAACAGTCCTCTTACCAATCGTTTAGTTGGAGGTACAACTTCAGTGGCACATTCTATAAACAAAGAAATGAGAGCAGGAGTGTGAATGACTGGGAAAAAGAGAAGTTTTGAAATCCAGATTTTGAGTGCCTTCTGGAATGTCCCACCACTACCACCCTGCATGCAGTTTTTTGAAAAACTATAGTGGGAAAGAGAAGGAAAGCAACTAAACACAAATGTATTCTGCAGAGAAGCAAAAGAGGCAGGAGGAGTCTCTCTCTCCAGGAGTGGCTAGATGGGCTGTGAAATAGGATTTCTTCCTCACTGTGAATGTTCTTCCATGATCCATCCCAACCCAGTAGCAGTGTCACATTGCCACCCTCCTATTCTTGAGGATGAAGAACAGCAGTCAGATAAAGACAGTAACAGAAGAGGAAATACAAGTCACCACATCCTTCCAAAAAGCTACTGGAGGTAAAAGAGTCCAGACAGAGGGGTGGGGAATCACTAGTGGCAAAACAGATATTCATTCTCCCTTCTCTTTACAGGAAAGGCTGCTGGGAAATTCTTCTCCTCCTATTTTTGCCTCTCACAGCAGCATTACTACTGCTTTTAAACCAACTTAGAGTTGTATTTCTCCACCAGTTACCATCATGACTGTATAGACAGAAGAATGTGACAGAAATGTTCTCTGAGGGTAAGATTCAACTCATCTAAATTTACCCATCCAAAATTTAGGTATATAGAATGAGTTAGCCGCTCAGGCTTGATAAAGAGCAATGGGGCATCCCAAAGCCTTGCTAGAGGCATTGAATAGTCTCCTTTAACTGTGTAAGGACAGTAGAGGTTGGTCTAAAACTGGCCAGGATGCATTCTCAAATATTAATTTTATTGACAGAAAATTGATATTTCTCTGAGAAAACTAACTTTTTTCACAGAAAATGTATTTGCACAAAATTCTCACTCAGACTTACTAATTGATTTTTTTTCTAAATGTTGTGGTGTTAAATACTGAGGGTTACTCTACTCTTCTTTCCAAAATATCATATAAATGGTGAAGCACTTACATGTCTTACAGGGAGGGTTACTTTCACTTTATGTCCAACAGGGAGAAATTTCAGTGGTACTGTTAGGGTGTCACTTAAATTGCTATTGTCGTCTTCCTTATCAGAAACTTTCTACAGAGAACAAAAAAACATGGGTTTTATTCACAGAATAGAAACAATCCAGTTTTTTACTGTTTTGGTGACACTGGAAATAAGCAAGCAGTATGAACAGTGATATTGTACAGTGCCCATTACCTGCAGCCTGACTTTCAGAACTGGCTCCCAAGCCTTCACACAATGGAAGTAGAAAGTATCTGTGTCCTCTGTAGTTTTCTGTGTTCCCTCATGAGATGCAGGCACCGTCAGCACAAGATTTTTACCCTCTAGTGAAAACATATTTGTTTAGAAAATAATACCACTATTCAGACAAAATAGCTAACAAAGCTGGCAAACTTTTTGCTGGACACATTCTCTGTGGTAACTTCTCCATAAACTGTCACACTGGCAGGTCTCCCACAGCATAGGAACTGGTACTTCTGCCTTTACCCCATAGCTTGGAGTGCTCCCAGAGTCAGCACTCTCATACTTCCACCAGCAAAGTTTACTGTGTCCAAACATGATAGCTTCAAGGAAGTGACACAGAGATCAAAGTTACAACTGGAGGCAGTTCGGAGACTTTCACTGTCACTACGTTTTATTGTCTTCAGAACATTCTTACTTGTCTCTGTATCCTAAATTGCCTCCATCTGGGTCTGAATGACTATGATAGGGTTGATTTGGTCACGTCCTCACTTCACACTGAAACTAGCATACCTTTCAAATATTTCCTGCTTTCATTAATGTCCACTTGCACTTCCAAGCAGCAAACCTCACGAGACTGTAAAATACAAGAGTGGAAAATTGTGAAGATAGCAGATGCCACATCCACAGCAAATAATGAAACATCATGCAGACAACTAAACTGGTCTCAGTGCTGGAATCAATCCAGCTGCACAAGAGTAAGTTCAGAGCTCATTATCCCAGGACAGTAGCCCAGTTACACTGCTTCAGAACTAGCTTGCCATGCAGTAGTGCATTACTAGAGGTTGTTGTACCCATTCAAGTTATCCCAAAATCAGGAAACTCTGTACAACACACTGTTGCCCAAACAGCTACACATATATCTGGTAATTACTTAGGAAGGAGGGGGGGAAACACCTGATGATGAGTTTCTGTGTATTGTGGCAGTGATTAGTCTACAAGGCATCTTCTTGCTGGTCCTGATGTAGGGAGATCATGGATTTATTCCACCTATCCTCCACCTGAGTCATTCCAGTTCACCTTTATTAACTCATGCCAGGAACAGTTTCCCAAGCCATTTCAGGAACAATGCATGCCAATCATTACAGCTCTTATGCCTCATACAGAAAATGAAGGGGAAAGAACAGAATATGTGTTACTTTGCCTCAGGCGTATTAAAGACTAGCATCTGGAAATCATGTGCAGGCTTGGAGTGGCTGACGTGATGTTCTTTGTACTCCTTAGCTTCTGGGCCAGCCCAAGGAGATAGGTAATGTACCACATACTGACTAATACCAAAAGAGGACTCTACGTTTCAACAACTAAAATAACTTTATTAAAAACATCATTCTCCAAAAGCTGTTACATTAGATAACCTTCCAGTCATAAGCACACCAAATACTTACTATTGTCTTCTACAGACTCTGCCCTTTTTATAACTTTTGTCTTTCCTGCAAAGTGACATACTGTATTATATCAAACACAAGCAGTTTTCACTTTGAACACCAAGAAATATGGGGTTCTGCAACATTAACAAACCACAGCTGAGCAAAGTACTGACATCTGTAATAACTAAGGACTTCAAGAAACACAGCTTCTATTTTTGCATGGAGAGGGCAACAGTTAAGCCATAATGAATGGGAATCGTCCCACATCTTTCACTTTGTAATGCACACCATGCTCTTATCTATCATGGTAGCTTCTGTTCTCTATAAAATGTCAGATGGCTGGAGGGAAGAGGAGGGAATCAAAGTGAAAGAAAAGTCAGTCCTAGTCCAATTCGTACGTGAACCTTACCACTAGGACATCATTGGTAATGAGGTGCTCTGGAGGGCCAGGACTGAAAAGACAGAATCAAAAAACAAAGAAACAATGCTCTGTGAGTATCTAGTATTTTTAAAAAATAGTAGTTTTATGACCTTTCTTGCTTAAAATTGGATATAGTTATGTTAGTATCACGATTTGTTTTCTAAAAGGCATAATACATGATGACCTGCTAAGCACATGAACCAAAAGGTAGTAGCCAAACAAGAAGAAAGTCAGGAGAGCCCATAAAAATACCAATGCTCAAAACTACATGCTAAGATACCGCAGAACAAAGACATAGTGGTCTATGTGGAATCATGTCCTGCTATTAACAAATTACCATATGACTTGGGGAAAGAAAAGACTACTATTAGTGTTTTCTGCAAACACTTATTAGGAAAGACATTTCTGGCTGTTCCAGATTATAATTTACAACAGTCACAAATGAACAGCAAATAAGAATTAGCTCCCTGTGGTGGTGCAAACCACCACCCTCCCTGTCCTGGGTAGCTCGATGCTTGATGCAACTCCCTCCCTTTTTCTGGAACGCATGCCAACCTAGGATGAGTTGGGTGTGGATCGCAAAAGGCAGCAAAACAGAGTGTTAAGGCAGCCCCTTAACGTACCAGCCTCCTGCTTCTCCCACCTGGACCACACTCCAACGTGGGATGAGTTGGAGGTGGACTGTAAAAGGCAGCAGACCATAGTGTTAAGGCACCCCCTTAACATAGCAGGACCCCACTTCCCCTATCACTTGACCTGGTACATCTTTACCTGGATTGCATCCCAGAAAGGGTGATGCCAGAAACTCCCAAATCAGCAAGTCTGAGGCCTGCACAACTGGTGGAAAATACCAGAATATTTCACCATCCAATTTAGGCTGAAATGGAAAAGTACCTGACAAAAGTCAATTATCTCGGACGCTACAAACAGTGATCCCAAGTGAGATCCTTTGAGTTCTCCTGGATTGCAGCGGGCTGTGACCAGCACCTCCCCCGAGCCGGGACCCCTCTCCGGTACCAACTCCACGGGCTGTCTGCTGACAAAGCTGATGGAAGGCCAGGCGAAATACTCTCCTCAAGTCTCAATTATCGCCCGTTGAGGAATGCCAATGCATTTTGAGTATTTACTCTAAACTCGAGAGGGAAATTTTACCTACAGGCCAGCCTCTTCCATCCACCTCTCTACTTATCTATGTGTTTGAATATGCACATTTTCCTTCATGAGTGTGTGCCTATATTTCAATGGATCCAAATATTTCTATCTGTAAGTGCACTTTATGTCTTATATGTATGTATATATTTTTTATTTATTTATTCAGGATACCTTTTAGTAAGTTAGTGTGAATCCTGTCATTTTCGAATCTGTAATTAAGTTGCTCTTTTAACTACAACATATTCTACTGAATCGTCTTGTTAATGTTTAAATTGGTTAATCATCAAGTGCTGCTAAAAAATTAACCTTTAATTTACCTCATACCATTAATAAATCTTGAATTGTTGCTACATCATAACTCTGTTAAAACATTCCATTCATAATGCTCGCACTGTGCTATATGTATGACTGAAAAACAGAGGTAAGTAATACAAAGTCTTTGTCCCAGACATTTTACCTTGTAAATGGTACACCTAGGTCTGTCACTGCATGGATGTAGTTATTTAATACTATGAGTAACCTATAGAGTCTACTAACAGCATCTCTCATTAAGACAAATACTCCAACATCACTATGCTACACACATTCATAAGTGCTTTCACAAATCTGAAAGGACCATTAAAGGTAAATAGTATGTAACCTTTGACTTCTGTAAAGTCCAGGGTATTTTACCAAGCACCACTTCCAGCTCTAAAACTTCTATTTAAGCTGTAGAATGTATTTAAATACAAATAACTAGGTTTGACTCCTAAGGATGGAGAATCCCCCACATGCTTTATAACTGGAATGGTGAAAGATGTTCCTCTTATTTCTAGTCTGAATGTACTCAGTCCAGTTTCCAAGCACTGCATCTCATTCTGTCCTTTTTATATATCTGGCTGTGACTGCTTCCACACTTGCAGGAGATGCTTACATCACCTCTTAAGGTGTCTCTCATAGATAAATTAAACAGATTTTCTTGAGTTTCACTGTGGGAGAAATCAACAAAGACCACCAGTGATTTTCTTCTGTTTAAGCCTTATTTACAGTTCCTTTTTCTAATCATGTAATTAGCCAGTTTTGACTGGACTATGTTCCTTTTTTTTTGGTAACGCTAAATGCAAATATGCCAGAATGTGTAGTTTAGTTTAGAAGTTTTTTTCAAGCAAACTTGTGAGAGCATTTAAAAGATTGGTTTTTTTTAAAAAAAAAAAGTTTGTCTTACAGGATTTGTTTTCCTTCAGACAATGTTGATTACCACTTTGAGGGGGATGGTTTTAATTTTATTATTTGTTGATTTTATGGTTTTTCAGTTTAACTAAGCTATCATCTAATGGGTGATTTTTGTAATACTGTCTACATAACTCCATGTGTATATCGTGATAATAATACAAGACACGTTTTCTGTCGTGAATTGTGGAAGAATGTGCACAGCATTCTAGGGACTGTTCAATTAAAGTTAACAACTTGAAGACCACCTCTGTCAAGTTTCACATGCATCTTGCGTACAAGTTATCATATTGCGCCAATGTTACTACATTTCCACGACCAGGATATGCATGTCGAACAGAAGGTAAGATTTGCATGAAATAAACTGAAAGGCAGAATTATCTGGGGAAGTTAAGGTAAAAAAAAAGTTGGTAATTTCGGCTCACTACAGGGAAGAAGAGTTGGAAGAAGTTCTTCTTTCTCTGAGACATTATTACACCCTGGCGGATCTGCACCTTCATCTTTGAAATTTTACTCACATTCTTTCCATCCAGAATTCCACTTCCAAACTTTCCCACTTCTTAGTGGACCTCTCTTCCTAAAAAGAAAATGGTAAAATAAATATGGATTATTGGAGGCTGCAAGAATTTGGTAATATAGACACACCTAAAAAGCACTTCCATGGCTGACATCTCCTCTGTTAACGTTACCAAAAAATTTGCATGTTACCTCTTTCCAAAACTGAGATTGCAATGGAAGCCACAGGCTTGTGAAGGACATGTAAGATTAATGTTCTCTCATTGTGGGACATGTGGAACTACACATATTTCCAAAGATACAATCAGAGAGGGAAAGCTTGACTGAATCAGAAATATAATGGCTTTCTGCAAAGACAGGGCACATGAGGGAAAGGCATTGAAGCCCAGCAACAAATGTGACAAACGCCAGTGTCATTTCCATGTACAAACCATTTAAATCACATTCACACTGAATCCAGTAGAGATGAAGTAGGCAAGAGTATTCTGGACTGAGGTGGTTATTGAATCATTATATTTCCCAGTGACTCATTCACTGGCTGAGAAGTGCATGGCACCAGCCCACAGAGTCACAAGGAAGATCCATGTTAACAGCTTTCAGCATTTGGGAAGTAGCTGTTCTTTTGGGTATGGACTGTCTCCTTCCTGCAATGAGCATGTAGCAATACCTCAGCCACAGCTCAGACAAGCCCAGGAGCTGTCACAGACCTATCCCAGCTTTGTTCTCTGGACAACTCTCTTTCATGGGCTTCTTAACAGAATACCAAAGATGTTAGCAGAACAGGCATCCCTTTACTATGGGCTAGAGAAATCTGAATCACCTAGAAGGAAACCAAGCATGAACACCAACAGCACAAGCCTGAAAGAATCATTTAATTCAAGTGATGAGTGGGTTGTCCTCATGTTTTCAATAAAAAGTTGCCATTTCAGAGGAAATGTCCTTTAAGCGTGGCAAAAGTGGAACAAAGCCAAAAGGTATTTATTTGGATTATAAAAGATAAAAACGACTCTTTGCAGATGCTCCTTGTTAACATATTTTGCCCCCACAGATATGGTGGGCATGAGAGAGAAGCTGCTTCATTTTCTGAATCTGTGAAAAGAGATTAATGAAGTCACAAAAATCCAGCACGATGATATCTGTTTTGATGAGATATTGATAACAATATAGATCTGTTTATGCAGACCCAAACCCCACTTAACACAGAAGCTAATCTGGGCAATGAGGTCCTGCCGATCTCTCCCTGTATTTTCAGTCCTTACCTCTGATTTCAAAGTAAACGTCTCCCGGAGTGTCTCCCCAGGTCTGATTCTAGCAACATTAAAAAGAACTGTGAACTGCATGTCATCTTTGGTGAGTGGATCTTCATCACACACTGCCAATTCTAAAATGTTCTGGTAGCAGAAGAAAACAAATAAGAACTCTTATTGAGCTGCTATTACACAGAAACAAAAATATGTTTATAAACTTTGCAGCGGCTTGACTAGCACAGTGGTAAGAATAAAGAAACATGTGCCTTCTTTCAGGAGTTTGCTTATGCTGAACACCACCATTAAACCCAACCTTGGGAAACTTACCATGAAACAGAAAACAACTACTTATAACAGAGAGCTCACAGATTCATAGATTCATAGATTTCTAGGTTGGAAAAGACCTTAGAGATCATCAAGTCCAACTGTCCCTAATCCCCATTAAACCATATCCCCAAGTAGATCACCCACCCTATTCTTAAACACATCCAGGGATGGGGACTCAACCACCTCCCTGGGCAGCCTATTCCAGTGGCTGACAACCCTTTCAGAGAAGAAATACTTTCTAACATCCAACCTGAATCTCCCCTGACTAAGCTTATGCCCATTTCCTCTTGTTCTATCACCCATCACTAATGTAAAGAGCTCCCACTGTCCTGACACAGAAAAGAAGATGTCAGTGCTCTGCCTCACACTGGTAACCTGCCCAAAGAACACACTTATTCAGTTTCCTCATCCGTCAAGTTCTCTTAACTACACAGCTTAGGGTAGGATTAAATTTGCTGTCTACACCTCAGCAGCTCCTCTACCCTTCCTTTACAACCAGTGGAGGGAAACTTTCTAAATTAAGCACCCAAAATAGCCCAGATGAAGCATACTACAGCAGTACTTATTTCTCTCAGGTGACAATAAAGGGAACGGACTAGCTCGATGCCTATAACTAGCTGAGGGGAACACTACTGCATACGTCTACTGTTTTGTGCTAACCAGTCAGTTGCAAATTCTGTTACACAAGCATTTTCTTAAGTTATTTAGCACAGCTGATCAACAGGCTGTCAACTGAGGATTTCCAGCTATTCAAAATGGTGAAATTTCTATATTTTTACTACCTCAACTTCTCTCTGGATCCTGAAGTAGAAAGTCTCATTCCAGACAGGGTTGTCAGAATTCTTGATGGTTTTAGTCCGAAGCTTTCCATTTAAAGCAGACGGCAGCCACAAGCGCACATAGCAGTCTGAGGCAGTCACTGCAGCAGAGAAAAAATGAAAAAAAATGATGTTGATGTTATATATTAAAACTAGGGCAAGGCCATGATTCTCGGAACTAAGAAATATTACTACTTTTTTTTTTTAAATAAGTAAAGGGACCATTGGTTGGAAGGAACCAAGGAAAACTATCTAATTCCTGGGTAACTACAATTTGCGAATGTACACATGCATACACAAAGAACACTAAGAGCCATGTTTCCCATGTGAAGAGCAAGAGGTATAAAAGACCCCACTGACCATTCATCGGGCATATTCCCTACAATTCCAGTCAATAATGTTAAAAAAGTTTAACTGAAACTAGAGCTAGTTCCAAAAAGGGCTGTTAGAATGATTACAAGAAAGGAGAACGCATATTACAGAGATCGGAGGAGACTGGCTTGCTTGGTCTAGCAACACAAACATGCGAGTGGACATGACAGCTGTCTAGAAGGGTTAGGTACTAGGGAAGAAGACCTGTTGCAGCTAAAGGTCTGCATGGGCCCAAGAACATGAGGGCATGAGCAAGTCAGAATCTTCATCTCACTTCCAGCCTACATCTACTCTGTATGGTTAGTGCAGTCAGTGCCTCGAGCAGCCATCCTTTAGGAAGAGCCGGGGGGGAAAGCACATTTACTTTGTGAAGCTTCACAACGGTGTGAAAGGAAATCTCCAAGGTGATGTCTTTCAGAGCTGGAGTCTGGACTTGACTGAAGATGTCTACTGCAGCCCGAGATGCCTAAATACTTCAGACTGGTATCAAGCAGTGAATAACATTGCCCCGCAAGGTTTTGGCAGGAAAGTGGAACTGTCCCTTCAATAGAGTAGATAGAAGAGATCATTGAAACTCAGAAATACAGGTCTTGTCACACTACCACCTTCCTAGTGTCCACCTCCAGACGTTGCTAAGTGGCATTTGCCACAGGAGTAGAGGAATCCCTTTGGCAGGCAGTTACTCAACCAACAGGGGATTCTCTCCCTCTGGTCTCCCTCGCATCTGGGCTTGGTCAAGGTTGCGCATGGAGAGACGCGAATGGTCTCAGCTGTAACTCAAGTAACACACTGCAAAGCGGTACTTTTTTGGCTGAACATGTTGTTTTTCGTGAGAGGAATACACAGGCCAGAGGTTTCAAGAGTGTAAGAAAAGGCAGCTCAAGTTCTCTGTCCTGAGAGAGGAACACATGGGAGACCTCTGCAAAAATGGGAGCTGAATGGCTGGTCCATAGTACACCTTGAGAAGGAGCCACAGGAGGCTGTGAGGGTAAGATAATGAGTAAAAGAAAGCTGAATACAAAAGTACACAGAAAAGTCTATTTTGCCTGCATGTTCAGCATGTGCTTAGGGCTGGATCTGCAGAGGTCGTCCTTAATTGGAAACTATCAACGTAATTTGACAGGACTGGTCATCTGAGAACAGCAAATACCCTGAATGATACTGTATTTTAGAAGGTTTGAAATTCTCTACCTTTGATGATTGTGTATAATTGATACATTTCAATAAAAGGTCCCTAAATACATGGCCTGTGTGGCAAAATTCCAGCCCATTGTATGATTTATACCAATTGTGAATATTGAAACAAAATGACTCCAAGCAGATTTACAGATTGCAGTGTCCTCACAAGGTCTACCTTCCCTTGTTGGCCCAGCAAATTCATCTGGGATTCTTGTTTTTACCAGTTCCCTGAAATGCCACTAGACATGTCCTCCAATCTAATGATACCTCAGGCATTTGATCTAATTATAGCCCTGGCATTCGTCCTTCTATTGTTGTGCTTTGTGTACATTGCTTTTATACCTTCAGAACTTAGGAATATTGCTTGCTGTGTAAACTCTGGAGGTGACTAAAACCACAATCAAACCACAACTCACACAGGTCTCTTGTCTTGATGTTCTTAGCTTGTATTATTCTTACAGAAAGCATGTGGATGGGACAAAACTTCATCTGCAGAGAAAACAAATACAATTAGTTTTATCAGCTCACAATACGAAAGCAATATGCATTCTGAATAGCACAGGAGACAGCCCATCCTTCTGTTTGTCTGTTTGAAGTGAGACAACCACCCTCCAGTGGAAGTACACCTCACTAAGATGATAGCACCATTGGCACTCTGGGCTATTTGCTAAGTAGCTTGAATAAGTGAAGACAGAGAAGGAAAACAAGGACTCAGACAATGGTATGGAAAGCTTTTGTAGTCACCCTAGAGGTGCCCGTTTTCATACAATCTGATGCATGCATGGCCATGGTGATGGTTGTACTGTTAATATGCCGAGGGTCCCGTACCACAGGTAGGTCAGAACTGGGCCTTTGGAAGGTAATACTAGGAACTTGCAGCTGCCTCCCTGGGTCCTGGCACAGCACTGACGCTAGGCCATGACACAGTAGTTATCAAAGTGTTCTAAAAACTTCTAACTTTGTACCTCAACTAGAACTAAATTTTCTTGACACTCCTAAGTAGGCCAAGCTCACCAAAAGTCATCTAGAGCAATGCACTACTGACTTTGAGTGAATGGATCATAGGTCCAGCAGAGACCCTTCAGATGAAGAAGAAAGTGCCCTGCTTTGGAGGCATAAGATCACAGAATCCCACATCATTAGATATCTTGAAAATACCTAATGGGAACAGAACCACTTCCCTTACAGACACAAGAGGCACTTCTATCATAGGCAAGCTATCATTGTAATGCTTATCTCAAGCTACTTGTTTGTAACTCTAACAAAGAATTAAGCTTCCCAGCCTAAGCTGGTCAGAAAGTATTTGTCATTTTTAAAAGACGTTCTCATAAGCCTGAATGAACACACATATACAGACATGTGACAATCTTAATACTAGAAGTGGCAAAATATTTTTCTTTTTTTCAAATTGGAACATTTACATTTCTTTTTAATTTTCTGTTGAGTATTTTATCTATTCATATTTTTTTTGCATATTAGCTCAGCTTGTCAGCAATAATAACCAATAATAACGTACAGTCCTGCTGCCACTAACAAGTTAAAACAAGGCGACACCACGTTAGAAGTGTTTCATTAGTTTGAATGGCAGCTTGAGGGACACACTGACTGAAACATTGTATCTATTTGTCTAAATGACAGTATCCCATTACACTGTAACAATATAATTTAACAATTTTATTTTGAAAGTTAGCACCATGACTAATTTTCCTGACACTGAAATTATTAACTTTGGAGATAGGACGGGCTGAGGAAGGAGAAACTTCTCTAGAGAATGACTCGCTCACTACAGTTAAACTGAAATTCTTCTAAAATGGTGGAGACTATTGGACATGTTTACTAGCGATGAGAATAGGCTTCATTCAGCTTCATTCAGTTTTGTTTAGAGGTAAATTAGGTTACATCAGGTGGACACCATTTGAACCGTGAATTAGCACGTTCAAATAAAGGCTTAATATTAAATTTTCTTATGTAATTTTTAAAGTTACATCCTTTTTAAATTCAGATTAATATTCAAGAGTCACTCTGAGCAGACACCCTGTACTTAAACCTACAAAATCACAGATTACTCTGTCTCTTGCCTCTTAATGGCTGATTGAAACACTTTTTGTATAAAAATACATGACACATTTGTTCTTGTGTGACAAGAATAATTTCTAATATGTTTTCTTCTGATTTGAAACTGACATATTTAAAATATTCTGAGTTTAATGCATTATGGACATTACAGTTCCAGTTGGGACACTTCCATATTATTCCAGTTGCCCACTGAAAGAATTTGACTTTAATTTTCCTGTGCAAATAGTTATTTAACATAGAAGTATCCATTGGAACACTCAGTCAGCATTCATAGTGGATTTCATTTACATGAAATATTAGATTGTGTAGTCAATTACAGAGATGACCGTTTTTAATTAATATGTTAATATTGTGTTATTTTGTAATCAGCTTCCCCCTTGCTCAACAGAAGCCCAAACCATTCTCAGAGTCTGCCTTCACTAGAGAAACTGATGTTGGTATACAACTTGCTTTGAACCTTTCGTGCTGAAAATTTCCTAACTGCTTATAAAAACGCTGCATCTGTAGTTCATCATCAGAGTACTCTCAGTTGTGATAGATGTCATGTTTTCATCCTCTCCCACTAGAGCCAGAGAGCCTCACTGCTCCTCCCTTCCCCTTTCAACAGCAATCACTTCCCTTAAACATGTCAACATCTGCCCACCAATGGAAGAAACATCATCAAAGATGACTGTTCACTACTGATTTGGTGCAGCTTAGTCCTTGTGTTGTTGCAGGGTAAAAGATAAACAGGTTCAGATGGGTAAACTTGACTATAATAAACCCTATGGGCTGTGCAAATCCCCAGGGGAAGCCAGAAGCCATCCCTCTCCCAAGACTGCAGTTACTCCAGCCTGTGATAATCATTCAGAATTGGGCTAATTCTTTTTTTCATCAGAAAAAGGCAGAGCTAATTTTCTTCTAAAATAACATTCTTGCCCAAAAGTGCCGGCACTCCAGAATACCTTCTAGAAAAAAAAAACAATTCTTGTTAGAGATACCATTTGCTATTTTCATTAACATGAAAAGCAACACGTCATTTCATCATTAATGCAAATTGATAAGCACAGACACCATATCCAGACAGGTCTTGACAGTCTTGCAGCTCTACTGGTCTTGCTCTTTTTAGTTCACTTCCTTGGGAGAAACAGTTTCCTGCATAGGCACACAAAGAGTAACGAAGCCTGTCTGTAAGTACGCAGACTCAAAGGTAGCTTTCCCAGAGGGGCATCATTCTATTTTTGCTGGAAAATTAGTAGGGCCACATTGAGGCATATGACAGAGTGCAGGCTTCAGCCACCTGTGTGTGTTTGCATCCTAGACAATAACACTCCAGACTAATAAATAGAAGCAAGTCCCAAAGAGTAAGCTAAAAATGCCAAAAATGCCAGACTTCTTTTCACTTGATACCATTTAGCACTAAACTACATTTCTATACTCTCAAAGCAAGTTTTAGGGGAGCCATTTCAGATCTGAAATACTGAAAAGTCAATAAACAGGAAATAAAACTAGCATGACAGGATTACCAGAGCTGTGTCAAACCTTAACAAACTGAAAATTCACATTTGTTGCCAACATCTCATTGATCATAATAATACATATTTGCTGGCCCACTGTCTGGTTTCTAGAGAATAGCCACATGCCAGTCAGCTTCAGGAAGACACATAATTCTGTTTACAGGTGATTAGTTACTTCAAGGTTTCATCCCAAAAAGACAACTTTGAGAGTATGAAATCTTCTCAAAGCTCATTAATAATGAGGAGCCTACTGAGATGGTCCTTGGGTGGCCGTGAAAGAAGAAAAACCAACCAACAGTTCATGTCTTTTATTTCACTCCTTACTGTCCCTCCATGCTACTCCTAGAAAAAGATCTCATGGCTACTATCACAAGATAGATAGTCTTCTAGGGGGTAGTTTCTGCAGAGCCTGGCAATCTGGAAACCTCCTCCTATCATCACCTCTTTTTTGTTGTTGTTGGTTGGTTTTTTTTTTGGTTTGTACATGTTGGAGGTCCTTGGTTTGTACATGTTGGAAGGCTGACGGGAATCTCAGCATTTAGCTCCCCTGCACCAAACCTAAGTAGTTCTCTGAGCAGAGTTATCACCATGGGATAACACCAAGTTATATGAAGTTTTATATAGAGTTTGCTCTGTCTTTTGACATTCTGTAAATAGCTGTAGTATTTATCGCTCACCTTCATCAATATCTTTCAGACACGAATAATTACTTCCTTTCACAGATTACTTTTTCTTTCCCCAGTGGTGTACCAGAAGCTGTACAATATCTTATGTACAAGGTCTCCCACTAAATGTAATCATTTGGCATATTATCACCATTTATTTTATCTTAGATACTGAGGATTTGGTTCAACTACAACTTGGCAATTTATCAAATTAAGGTTAAAGCTATAAGTTTATAAACTGTTAAAAAGCTTCATGACCAGCCTGGTTCCAAAGTGCTCTCTTCCATGTAGATTCTTTAACCTTTAATACGGGCTGAGTTTATTAGCCCCTCCATCAGTGAGAACACTGCTAGGAATTTGTCCTTCCAACCACCCACCCATTTTCATTAAAATTAAAGGAATGCAAAGCTCTGGAGCGAAAAGCAACTGACTGAAGAAATATACAAAACCAGCAGAGAGGATAGAAGAAAAGAGTACGACCATGAAAGCCTCATTTTCCTTGGGAATCACAATTACCCAAAATCTTATCACTGGAAGTTGAACAGTAAGTGGGTGAATCTAATTTGCCTTACAAACACTTACTGTAATTTCATGTTATCACTGATGGATTGTTTCAAGAGTCATGGTAGATTTGGGTGCATCCCCTGCTTATATTCTGTCAGTCACCTCTTTACAAGTATGAGTGGGTCCCTCAGGGCTCTGTATTGACAGAATTTCTGAGTATTTTACCACATAAAAATTATTCCATAGTTGACAAAATAAAACTGCTAAGAATGCTTATTCTTGTCTGAGCAGAAGAAAAGACTAGGTTACAAATATCAAAAGCATTCTCAGCAAGTTGTAAATTAATATTATCAATCACTTCTGTGCCAATTTGGTAGTTTTTTAAACAGCAAAAAATTAACTGGGAGACTTTTAGTAGGTCTTCCTAGATAGATCAAAGCATCCACACTTTTCCAAACAACTTGTTCTTTTTAATAGAAAAGAAAATTAAAAAAACACAAAACTACTCCATTCTGATTTCTGTATCTATTTACCAATGTACATGTACTGAAAAATGCATTTGCCTGACAGAATGGCAGAGCTACCTGCAGTATCAAATGAATCTCCTTCCTTAGGAACAGAAGCTTTCCGACCTGAAGCTATGCTATAACCTTTTGGCAGTGTTGCCTGTGAACCAGGAGTATGTCTATACTCATGGAACAGCAGTTGCAGTGTTAGGATGAAATGCAAGAACTTTCACTGTAATTGA